GAAGTCTTGATATCGGAGCTAACACTAGGCTGTGGCCAACAGGTGGAGGAAAGTAGTGACGCATGTGAAAGAAGTACCTTTGAACGCTTTTGGAGACCAAATTGTACATTTAGAGACATTCCGGGCGTATATTTCACCTGTGCGGTTTTTAAATTGATGACAATAACGCATTAGTCTTTACAGCACCGCAAAGTGGTGCTTTAAAGAACAATGCGTTCAATTGTCATCAACCTAAAATCACAGAATATTACATTATATTGCATTAGTCCGCTCCCTGACGCGTGCAGTTGACCCCAGATCGAGGCGTGAACCGTCATTAACGCAACATCCCTGCTTGCCGCAGATGGTTAGATAACTGGCACATAGACTCCAGTCGGGCTTAACGGGCCTGTGTTGGAATACGGTTGGAGGGCCCAATAAGCCGGGCCCCTCTTCGGGTCCCATCAAACACTGCTTTTGGTCGGCGTGGGGCCCCTTGCGAACACAGGACCCTCTGATAGACACTGTGGGCCCCTAGCAGATACAGAGGGCCCGACCAGTGTAAATCACTGGTCCCGGCTTTGTAGCTGATTAGGAATGGGCTCTCAGGCCAATACCGACACGGAGCCGACTGTGCGGTAATGGTAGTGCCCAACCAACATATAGGCCCATATCGACTCTGGAGTCCCCGGTCGGCGCAAAGTGCCCTCTGCCCGTTACTTGAGCGTCCGTCGTCACAGGTCGGGCCGCTCAATAAGAATCCGACCAGTTCTTTATGCCCTAAGACCTTCCAATCGGACCATTCATTGTCGGGGCCATGAGCCCCCTGGGCTCTTCGGGCCTCCTCGAATACTGCCTTTGGCCGACTCGGTGCCTCTTGGCAACACAGGGCCCTGTTAGGCGCTGTGGGGCCCTCGAGCAATATAAATCGCTAGCTCCGTCTTTGTCCCTGCTTGGGAAATGGGCCCACAAGCCCATGCCGCCGCGGAGGCGGCTGTGTGTTACTGGTGGGGCCTGACCGAAATACAGGAACTTATCGACTCAGTGGGACCCTGATCAGCACGCAGGACCCTCTGGCTGACACTGGAATGCCCGGCCCTGCGGGCTGGGTCCCCTGAATGAGACCTTCGTTTGGCTTTTCGGGCCGTTCTGGCCTTCAAATCGGGCCCTAATTGCAGGTTCCGAGGGGCCTTCGGACCCCTCGGAACCTAAGGGGAGGGGGGAGGAGCACGTACCCTCTGTGCCCCCTTGCCTGCGCTACTGGGCTCGAGACATGGACATACTGAACGGACGCTCGAGACCCCCGAGTAGTGCATATACGTGTACCGCCTGTCGAACGGAGGCATGCGGGCGCTCTTCTCCCGAAGCATTACACACGCTGCAGCATATACATGACGGCAGCGCCCCATGACGTCACCTAATAAGCATCGCTATCACTGAATATATTTGTCAGCATGCAGGTAGGCAGCTGCTATGCCGCGCCCGTACCCACAGGTGGTCGGACGGGCACTTCCTCACTGCCGCCGGGGCCGGGGTTGAACATACACCTGATTTACTTTTCCGGGTAATCGGCGATGTTGCTATTGCATAGGAGAAAGCATAGTACACCGAGCGTGGCTAGTCGCGTAAAACCTGGCGCGAACCTTGATCCAAACGCCACATGCCATGCGCAGCGCGATTCTGATTATCGACAATCGATTCAGTGACCTTTGGCCACTGGGAGTGGGAGTGGCGGACGGGAACCGGCTTCGGGTCGCCGGCACCGGCGCGCCGCCGCCGCTGTGTTACCACCTGGCGCCTCGGGCCAGGTGCCAAATGACCTTTCCACACCGGCATCAACAAACTGTGGGAAGATCGCGCCGCGAGGATCAATGCTGGAGCGGGGTCCAGCCGGGGTGGGGCGGCACCGGCGCGTACCAGCGGGGACCCTGCCGCACGGGCGGCTCCGGGGCTGAACCAGGCTTCCGGGCGGTGCTGGTTTGGAGGCCTGACGCGTTAACACGCGCCCGGGCGAGCGGTCAAATTGACCCCTTGAAGGTTTTTCCTAGAATGGTTTCCGAACGGCGCGGCTTAGCCGCGGCAAAGTTTGCATAGCTGTAGACAATTAAATAGCAGGTCGTCTGGAATCAAAAATTAGATGTACCTGGTAAGGTCGCTGACCTATGGCAGGTCAAAGTCAGGCCGTGGTTTCAATGAAAGCAATTTCCAGTGATCGTTCAATCTGATCCAACGACAGAGTGTTAGACGAAGCCATACATCTCTGAGAGAGTTTCTTAGGTAGTACAATAATTGAATCAACAAATTGAATTGACCTAAGGTCAGGTATGAAGGTCAGACCAAGGTCAAAATTAACCTGTGTTATTGCTCTAGGGCTTGCGGTGTGGAGTAGTTTCTGGTGCTCATTTCGAATTTATTGATAAAAAACCGCATTATACACCCTCCATAGACTTCCTAAAGGTCAGAGTAGTTCGCTGACCTAGAATGACCCAGGTCAACACTTTGTTTTCATGAACATACTGCCTAGCGTTATCTTTGTCGCTTATCCAAATGCAAAACTCAAAGCGGTCTTGTATGATTTTGGTCACCATGACCTCCCAAGGGTCAGACGAGGTCACTGACCTTAGATAAGCATGTGCACGCCTGCTTAGAACAGTTATCTAGGTTCTAAGGGCCCTTTGGAGGCCAACCTAAAATTTGGCCTTGTCTTATCTTATTTGACTCAAAGGTCGTGACCTAGGAATATCAAACTTAGATATATGTGAGTTCACGTACAGGTCAACACACCCTGTGCATTTAGGTGTCTCTAGCTTGCTTAGTTCCTGAGATCTTAGGGGGGATTACATTGACCCCCACCCGAGCGAAATGTATCCAGCCGGCCACCCGGGTGCATGTTAATGAGGTAGCCAAGGCCAAGGCCGGTGCATGTGTGATCAGGTGCGATGCATTCTGCCCCATTTAATTTGTTGGAGATGACCTTAAGCGACTGTTTGAAAGCACGCGTTTTACCCTATGACCCGGCTCAAATGGACAAACAAGAATGATGTGCTGGAAATGCGTGCAAAACGCCCGAGTTGTGTTGTCGCAACGCAACGCAAGTGTTGCAATTACTCATCCAGATGTATTCTGCATCAGTGGCAGAAGGGGCTATCTTTGAGCTTTGCCGCGAATGACAGTGTATAATGCAAATAAACGTGCCCTCAACCTTATTGGTATGCGATGAGATGCGGGGAGCTACCCCCCCCCCCCCCCCGCTTCCCCCTCCCTCCCGCTGATATTTGGTAATCCATTTTACCGGTTTGGACGGATCAGGTATGAAACGAGATCGTGCTCTCTGAACTTACCTTGATAGCCTGTTACAAATTTCTAACGGATTCGGGGACCCATTCAAACGGGCAAAACATGCGGTTGGCTTTTTCGCTTTAACTACATATACCACTCAGATCTCTTTCATACTTCTACATTTCGACGTTCGACCATAATAATCCCAAAGGCATACAAGCTACTGTGGATTGGTGGCGGACGTGAGATGATGGAAAATGATATTAATGAACATAGGCGGATCCTTGAAGGGGTGGGGGGGGGGGCACGGGGCCATGCCCCCCCCCACAAAAAACCCTGAGAGTATGTTTTGCCCCCTCCAAGCATTCCCTGTACTTCATAAAAGTCTCGTCTACTTACCGTCTGATTTACCTTTAACTTTTAGCTGTTTTGTTTTAACTTCTGTTTAAGATTCAAAAGCATTTCTGTGCTTGAATGGTGTCCCTTCTAGGTACTCGCGAGAGGCACCATGCACTGGACCTCGGATCCCACACAAGCCAGCTGGCGACGAACGGTTGGTCCCCCCCCCAAAAAAAGCGCAGGCTAGATCCGCCCTGTTAACGAAAACATTTGATGCCTATTAAAGCCTGATCTGGCGCATACAAGCGCTTACCCTTGTACTCTGCGTTGCAATACATGTAACATCCAACCCAGCGATGCCAGAGATCAGTCGCGAATGCAGGATATTCAAAGCTGATGAAGAATGCAGGATACATGAACACCCTGATGCCTGCGCCGAAACCAACGTCAATGTATTACCCCCGTTGCGTATGCTCTTACTTTGCCTATGGTGACCCAAAGTGTTCGATATTTGCGATAATTGGCCTATTTTGAAATATGGACCAATATTTTAAGTTATTTTGGAGTTAAATCGGATGTGAAGAAGGAAGTGTTCCGCCAATACATGACTCCCAAAAAATCGTGATTTACTCTGACATGCCTCCCACGAATCAATCATGGAGCCGACCCCGAACAACGTGGCGCCGCTCGTTTCTGTTTGTATATGTATATTCTATATATATATATTATATATATATATAGAATATATATATATATATATATATATATATATGTATGTACATTTTATATATATGTATATTTTATATATGTGTATGTATATGTATTTGCATATTTTTGTATATGTCAGACCCATGGTTAAGGAGGCCACCCACCGTCGGCGCCCCAGCTAGATCGGTCAGAGCGGTTAAATGATGATGAAAAAGCACAAACCTAACCCGGACCGGGTTGCGACCGTGGTGAACGCGGCAGCATGGCCCGATGAATGCATGCACAGATCACAGGAATGGGTTCGTCCCCATAAGTATTGCAGCTATGTGCGATATTTCAGGATGTTTGTGTGTCAACTGCATGGCGGCCGTTTGATGTGCTCTGAAAAATTAATACCACTGGCAGAATGTGATACCCGTACTCCCAACGGGGTTCTCCCATGTCCTTGACGTACCAAGCCCTGTCATCGAGGAGAGAGCAGTAACGGACTTTTCCACCATAACCGGACATTCAAACCATGCTCCAGCCCGGGGCGTCAGAATGCTTGTAAGCTTGGGAAATATAGTGATTTCCGTGTCACTGCATTTATCTTCCAGTACTTCTCACATCAAACGGGCTTGGATCGACAACAACTGTCGTACCCCTCAGCGTCCTTCCGCATCGCCGACGCTAACCACGCCGTTCCTGCACCCCAGGATGAAGGAGCCGCCCTCTCGTCGCAACAAGTACCTCCGCAGCCGCTCGCCGGTGCACGAGATCCTCGCAGCAAAAGGTGGCAGCACCGTCGACCGGGGCGCCGAGGACAAGCGCTGGCGGATCCAGATGATGATCGAGTATACGGCCATCCCGGAGAACAGCGAGCACGAGCCGGATCAGGGGCGCGCCTCAAAGGTAGGTGCTCGCAGCGAGCCCGCGCCCGCCCGCCGCCGCTGCCGCGGCCCGCGGCAGGGCGAGGAACGGCGGAAGCGATGCGAAGACGGCCGTAATGCGGCGAAGCGGCGACTTCTGCGCAGCGGTGGTCGTGGGGTGGCACGCATTTCGGCCGCCTCGCAATACTGCGCAGACCCCGCGACGAAACGAACGCGCGCGGTGGTCGTGGGGTGGCACGCATATCGGCCGCCTCGCGATACTGCGCAGACCCCGCGACGAACGCCGCGGTGGTCGTGGGGTGGCACGCATGTCGGCCGCCTCTGCAATACTGCGCAGACCCCGCGACGAACGCCGAAAAAATCACGTCTGCTTCAAAAGAACGGTGTTGAGATGCATGTAACTGAGAGATTGTGTGTGACCCACTCCATTACATTCTGTGGATCGCACTCAACGTGAACAACCTAGGAGAAACATTGCGTTGTCTCGACGTTGAATCGAGTTGGTGCGGTACGAACATCCTCCAACGCTGCGTCTCACGCTTGCGCAGCGCTCGCCATCTTCTGCCGCTCTGAGACTCCCAGCCAGCTGAACACTAATTATGCGCCGTAAGCACGTAGGCCTGACGTAGTCCGCCATTATGACCTTCACGAGTGGAAGACGGCTGTCCCGTCGTGTTAGAATAACCGGGCAGCGATACATCCGACATGCCTGTACCTGTCAAACACGGTATTGGCGGTCCGGGCGGTACAGCACAGCCGACTGAGCCGCTCGTTGATACTGATCCGAGGAAGCGAAGAAGACACAACGACAGCTGTGGTGCGCTGTGTGCGGCGGCCGAGATCATATTGTGGAGGAGACCTCGGGTTCGGTCCGTTCTCGCCCTGGTGCAGGAGAGACCTCGGGTTCGGTCCGTTCTCGCTCTGGGGCAGGAGAGACCTCGGGTCCGGTCCGTTCTCGTCCTGGTGCAGGAGAGACCTCGGGTTCGGTCCGTTCTCGTCCTGGTGCAGGAGAGACCTCGGGTTCAGTCCGTTCTCGCCCTGGTGCAGGAAAGACCCCGGGTTCGGTCCGTTCTCGTCCTGGTGCTGGTATCGGTGTTCACCGCAGACGTCCGGAAGTTCTGATCAGTATTGGGGGCGGCGGTCGATAAGGCTGCCAAGGGGTCACTTGACACTAACATGGTTATAGGGAACAGTCCAGGTGAACTATTCAGCTTGGGTTAAGCCTTGAAAAGCCCATGCTGAACGATCACCATTAACTGATCCCTGATAGGCTCTCTGCGCCCTACAAACAAGATAGTGCGCTTGATGCTGGCTGGCATCAGCTGATGATCCACTGCAGCTTCGTCGAAGAGAGAGATTTATCAGTACCATTTCCTGTGTTCCGTCGAAGATTGATCTTACATGCCAAAGCGCTGACTTTTAAGAAACCAGGAGCGGTTCGTCCAGTACGCCGGTAGAGGCACCCATAAAACATTTTTAGACCTCAGAGGCATTTATCAGTTTTTATAGACGTGTTCAAGTCCGGTTCACCTAGGCTATGACCTTGCGCCTGACTGACGGGAATCTCAGTGCCATGACAGCGACTCAATCGATGTATGTAACCTTGGAATAGCATTGGGGGACATCCTGGACAAGGCTGAATGCATTAGAACTCCCCGACTGTGATTGGAGACCTGACTTCGGGTCTCAAGGGCCCCATAAACCCACCGACTGTGCAGATTCTGCCCAGTGATGTGAGCTTCGCCACTGGGAAAGATGTTCGACGTCGGACACATGTAGCCAATAACTGACATCGAACGACCGCTGCTGGCCCCCTGCTATCCTCGCTCGCCTCTGAGAACACTGACCTCTGGCTCTGTGTCACCGGGCTTTCGAACGCCCGGTAATTCTGACACTCGAGCCAGGTGCGGTTTGAATCGCCCCGATTGTTCACCGCCCTGATATGATAAAAGGCTGTGGATGCATGCAGGTGGCAATGGGGCCGGGCCTGCTCTTCTCGTACAGGCTACGTACAGGCGATCATGTGCTCTGGCGTGTCTGAGTAGCTTGCGCTCCCCATAAACCTTGACCAGCCTGGACATCCAGCCATCAATGATAGTATGTGCATTCCAAAGGCACGCTATGGGCTGCTGATCGACGGATAATGCGCTCGTGAGAGCATGTTTGCTCAATGGCGTGGCCTAAACATATGAACCGGTTCTGCTGCCTAAATGATCATCGTTCCTGCGCAACCTAATCGGCATGTCACGCGGGAACGACATCGATGTACGATTGTCGCAGTGCATAATGTCAAGGTCAGCAATGGAAACGTACTGTTTCCTCTGGTGTCGGAGCCTCGGCATGCATGCTGCTCATCATGCGTCATGCCGTCATGAGCCGTGCAGTCCTCTGGCAGCTCCTCTGGTGTCGGAGCCTCGGCATGCATGCTGTTCATCATGCGTCATGCCGTCATGAACCGTGCAGTCCTCTGGCAGCTTTTGACGCTGCTGGTGCCCCTGCGCAGAACCGGAGGTGTCAAGTCGCCATGCCAGAGGCGACCGTATTTTTTCTAACGCCAGAAGCGGAACGGCCGGAAGCGGAAGGTGCGGGGCGCTGGAATACTCTGAGCTGCGACCTGGTGTCCTGCATTAATTCGTGTTTGGGCTGCAGCATTGCTCTGCGGTTGCAAGGCAGCCATTCTCGATTCGGATCTTCAATGGCGGCTGGAGACAGGGACTGCCTCAAAATGTGTCGCAGACACGCGCAGTTGCATGCCATTGAATTTCAACGAGCTGATAGATTCCTCCACGAGCAGTCGGCGGGGATATCGCTCAGTCGTCATCCGGCAATGGGGCGGTAGACATAAGCAATGCACTGTTAAGGTCACGGTGGATTCCACCACAGCGGAGACATTGGAAGGTCTGGTGTCCGAGGGAAAGTAGCTGTTATATTTATGGCCGGGACAGCGGCGGAGCCACGGAGCCTAAGCGTTACCAGCTGACGCGGATTCCGCTGCCATCGATATGCTCAGGCTGGGTTTCTTTCACAACAGGAAATGTTCGTAGGTAACCGTATCTGTGCATGGCGTCGACTTCTTGATCCGTGTCTGGTTAAAATTATGCCAACGTTGTTGGGAGTCGGTGGAACTCCATCTTATTGCAACTTTTCAATCAACAGCTCATGTTCTGAGAAGTCGCTCTCAGCGCTCATCTGTCACCCATTTGCTGTTAATTGTCAGGGAATTAACACAGCCAGGTAATTACCAAGGGCATCGATCGCATGAGGTCTCAACGGCTTAAGAACACCAGTTGGGAGCGGGCGCCGAAGAGGTCCGCGGCAGAGGCTCCCCCAACCCCACCCCCACCCCCCGAGGCCCGCAGCAGAGGCTCCCCCAACCCCACCCCCACCCCAACCCCCGAGGCCCGCGGCGCCTGAAAGGCACAACATACTGTGTACCACAGCCGCACGGATGTTGTCGCAGCATCTCATGGAAGTTCGCTCAATCATCAGCATTTGAGATTTTGCGAGAGTCCGACAGTGAAGAGAGATGGACAAGACTGGACATCGAGCCGATACGATAATGTCAATGCATTTATGACCGGAAGGAGATAACGGGATACAATGGATTAACCGATCCGGTACCTGCCAGACACTACATTTCACCAGCAGCGCCATCTGAATGAGGAAGGTCTGCAGCGGAGATGCATTTTTTCAAGTGATGAATTGGGTGCATCATTATGGGCCTGGTGCTAGTCTCAGATTGTTGGCACTCAGGTAGCAAAACCTTTGCGGAGTGACATCACTGAAGTTCACTCTTGCCTCTAACACGTCATCGCAGGCAATGTTGGGTGTTGTACTAGGATTTGCAAGCGAAATGTTTGCGCTCCTGATTCATGGCATAGATCTGTGTAGGCACTGAAGCGTGCGGCATGGGAAATGGACGGTGGGCTCTGCTGTTCAGGTGTTTCCAGTTGTTATTCACGGAGGCAGTCGACTCAGTGTGCCTGTATCCGACATCCTGATTTAGCCGCAGTTACCTTACGGGGGGCTTGTTTGCTTCATTGTTAGCCGGCCGCGGTTCAACTAGACATGCTCCTACCCGCAACGCCGTGCAATAAGGGCCATAATTAGCCACCGTCCCGTCTATTTGCAAGGGTGAGGCAGGGCGGGCACTGGCGGCCAGCCCCGTTACGTCACGTGACGTCACAAAATTACGGCCGTCCCGAGAGCCGCCACGGCAGGCGCTACGAGCCTGCGCAGTCGTGCCGCGGCTGCAGCGCGATATCACTAGTCTCCAGCGGAAGTGGCCAGAAAGCGAGCTCACCGTGCAGGAATCTGCTCGTGCTGCGTCGGATCAGTAAGCGCAAGCCGTCGCAATAGTCCTTGGTCAGCTGTTTAGGCTGCGCCGCAAGCGTCTGTCTCGCGCGGCTTGGCGGCGGAGAGTGCGGCGAACGAAATCAAGGCCACTCGCGGCGACCACGCGGCGTCGCCACCGGCCGAGCCGCGGCAGTGCAGCAGCGTGGACCTTTGGGTGCGTTTGCAGCTGGGCGATCTCGCGGTATTTTGACTCTGCTGCCGTGGACTGGCGTCGCACGTGCCAAAGGGAGCCTGCTGGAAACCCGCCGACGGCAGCTGCCAGACGCCCCAACAAGCGGAGTTTTTGTTTCGCCGACAGTGCGTGCTGCTGGCAGTCGGACATAGCTGAGGTGGCGTGCGACGAGGGACGAGGATTTCTCCGTGGATTTTAAGGCGCGCAGTTCCGAATTTTGCGCGAAGTGCATTGCCGTGAAGTGCGTGTTCGTGGGACACCACCTGGTAAGGAATTGCAGGCGCAGTCAAGAACGGAGCGAAGTTAGCTCAAGCCATGGGGTTTGATGTCGAGGTCGGGATATTTTGTCTAGCTTTTTCGGAGATGGTGGGGTCTGCTACAGTAGTACATCGGCGCTGCTTACTGTGTAGTCAACCAGTCAACGTGAATGTAGCTCCGTGATGCCACCTCCCCCTGAGCTTTTGTCGCCATCCTTGTGGCTTGCCTGCATGAAG